GTGCAACATATTGTTGGATTTTGCTTCTTGACCCATTCTGCCAGTCTATTTCTTTTGATTGGTGAATTGAGACCATTAAAGTTGATGGTTATAACTGAAACGTATTGACTTATCCTTGTCATGACTTTTTCTTTTTGTTGGGTTCTCCCCCTTTACATTTAATTTCTTGCCATGCCAGATGGCTTCATTCTGCTTTGCTTCCTGGGGTTGTGATCCTCATTGTCTATTGTTAGGATATTGTGTAAAAGTTTTTGGAGTGCTGCTTTGGTATTCATGAAGTTCCTAAGGTGCTCTTTGTCATGAAAGTATCTTATTTCTCCATCAATGTTGAAAGATAGTTTTCCAGGGTACATCAATCTGGGTTAGAGGCTGTTTTCCTTTAGGGCTTGGAATACATCTCTCCAAGCTCTTCTTGCCTTGAGGGTTTGCATTGAAAAGTCTGCTGTGATTCTGATGGGCTTTCCTTTGTATCTGATTTGTTTCTTTCCTCTAACTGCTTGTAGAACTTTGTTTTTCTGTTGGGTTTCTGGAATCTTGACTATTATATGCCTATATGTAGATTTTTTTTTTTGATCAAGGCTATTTGGAATCCTATATGCCTCCCTTATCTGTATGTCAAGTTCTTTTTCCCTGCTTGGGAAGTTTTCTGCCATTACTTCTGTGAACAGTTTTTTTTATGTCATCTGCACTCTCTTCTGTTTCTTTGTTGATTCCAATCAGTCTTATGTTATTCTTCTTTGCATCATCTAACAGCTACTGGATTGATTTCTCATGGTCCCTTACAATTCTGAAGCAATTTTTTCTTTTCCTGGTCACTAATTGCAATCTTATCTTCTATAACTTAAATTCTGTCCTCACATTGGCTCATTCTGCTGTGTAGACTTTCAGTGGCATTTTTAATCTCCTGAAAATCTGTTTGCATCTGTTTTTTGGATTCTATTTGTTTCCTATGTTGAGATTCTGTCATGTTCCTCAGGTCCTCTCTAGATTTATCAATCATGTCTTGCTGTATGAGCACAATACCTGCTGTTATGTGAGAAATTATTTCTGATTTCATTTTTTCCAGATCCTCTTTTGTTGCCAGTTGAAGGAGTCCAGGTGGTTGAGTATTAGAGTGTTCCATCTCATTTCCCTTTGGAGTTGCCGTAGGTGATCTGGAAGTCTGGTTTTGAGACTTATTTACATGTCTTCACATTCTGACAGGGGAAGGAGGTGCTGTTGGTGCCCACATGACTAATCTCCTCTATGCTGGAAGCAGTGGAACGTCAGCCCAGAAACCCCTTCCTCTGGGCTGGGAGTGGTGGAATGGCAGCCAGGAGGCCCCTTCCTCTGTGCTGGGCATGGTGGAATGGAGGCCCAGAAGCCCCTTCCTCTGGGCTGGGAGTGGTAGAACAGCAGCCAGGAGGCCCCTTCCTCTGCACTGGGAGCAGTGGTATGGTGGCCTGGAGGCCCCTACCTCTGCACTGGGAGCAGTGGAATCTGACACCAAAAATATTAAACACTTCAAATTCACGTATATATTTTTGTGATGTGTTATATGGTGGTAAAATTTGTTTCCAGGCAGTTATTTTAAAAGCTATATATTATGTATTGTGTATATACATATACATATGTGTACAAATGCATATGTTCATTGAGATTTATTTGTCCATTTACTTACACACAATTGATTTACTACTACTCCCCATGTTTTTCATGTTCTTTGTTGATCCACCATTTTCTTTAAGCTTTGGTTAAATAAATTTGCTTTCATGAATGAGGCACACTGTCATCAGACTGTCTTTCCCCTGTGCCTGTGGAGGTGCCACTTGTGTCTTCACTGGTGCTGCAGTGAAGAAAACCTGGAGCCCTGCCTGAGAGTCCTTCACTGATGATGCACACTAACATGCTCCTTTGTTGCCCTAGGCTTTCCAGCGACAGGTACACGAGACTCTGACACAGCTGGAGCTCATCAACAAACAGTACCGCCGCCTGGCCCGAGAGAACCGCACCGACTCGGCATGCAGCCTCAAACAGATGGTTCACGAAGGCAACCAGAGATGGGACAACCTGCAAAAGCGAGTCACCTCCATCTTACGCAGACTTAAGGTCTGAATTATGCTCATCCATCACTTAGAGCCCAGCAGAGGATGGGACTGGGCTATGGGAGAGCAATCTTGAGACGTGGTATCAGTGAAGGTGTGAGGTCAGGTGGAGGAGGGATAGGGGTGAGATGGCTGTGGAGAAAATGACTTTTCTGAAGGACCCTGGAATAGGCTGGGCCACCTCAGTGTGTTGATGTGGACTTTTTAATTTCTGTTATCTCCCTCTCGAACCCAGCATTTTATTAGCCAACGCGAGGAGTTTGAAACTGCACGGGATAGCATTCTGGTCTGGCTGACAGAGATGGATCTGCAGCTCACTAATATTGAACATTTTTCTGAGTGTGATGTTCAAGCTAAAATAAAACAACTTAAGGTAATGGATTAATTATGTTTCATATTATCAATATGAAGAAAGTCGAAAAAGTTCTTGACAAAAAAAAACCCCAGGAAATATATAAGACAAAAAAGAACCCTAACTAGAGACAACCCGGTTACCATAATGTATATACTTTTAAATAGTAACTCTTGCCCAGGGTGTTAGGAATTTCTTTTGTTACTGTGTTTCTCCTGGTTTGTTTCTAGAACCTACAAATAGATCATACAAATGGCAAGTTCTAGAACAAAACAACCTTCTTATATTGAGATTTCATTCTGCATCTCCTACAGCCATAGATATCAAGTTAATTTTAACACCTTTTATATTTTTCACCAAAGAAATCATAGTGGCTAGCTATAAATGTGAATATGTTAGATAGAAGGATTTCCTAAATAGATGTTTAATAAGTTGAAAACATTTACATAGCAGCTTATGAAATTTTCTTCCCCCTACAGATGGATTTGGTTTTTGGTTTTGGTTTTGGTTTTGATTTTTGTTACTGGGAATTGAACCCAGACCATTGTACATGCTAAATACATCCCTACCATTAAATTAAACTCCCCTGCCCTGATAGATGAATTTTTTGAAGCATATTAATTATGATCATAAGCTCTTGCTTATTATAATAAAAATAAGAAAGTTACTCTTACTCTATTAAGATGAAAGAAATCATAAGATAGAAAACCCTGCTATTCTACCCAGTGCTTCCTCCCTCTTCCTCTCCCTCCTCCTCCATACAACTCCTACAAGTCAGTTCTTCAACAGGAAATTTCTACCCAGTGATAGTTGAATATTTTTTCCTATGGGACACTGGTAGAATCATGGATGTCAATACTACCCTCCATTCATCCCTGGCAGTCTTTTTCATCACTGGACAATTTCAACCCTTCCATAGTTTATTCTCACATTGTATTAAAATTTATCACTTGAAACTTGTCCCTAAGGATATAACTCTTTCCACCTGTATGGAGTGAGTCTAAATAATCTCAGATTTCCTTCCTTTAACATCATTATCACTTTATGCTTTAATGCTTAAGCCCCAAACCAGAAGAATCATCTGAGAAGAATCTGTGGCTTTGTCATTTGAATGGTTTCCCTTAGTCTGGTTTGATGTATAATTTATATCATGATAAATCAGAATGTTTAGATCATGCCCTTGTCTTTAGCAGGAATCACCAGTCCTACTAACTTGATGACATGTTTGAATAATTTTCCATTATTCTCTACCCTCACTGACTCCTGGTAAATCTTACACCAAAGGATCTTTTCTGATCATAGAATATTAATGTTTCCATTTCTAACTCCTGTTTTTGCTTGCAATTGTATGTTTTACTTTAGCAAGTAATAGCCTCTTGGCTTGTCACTGTAAAGATAAATCACATATCCTCTACACAGTGGTGGCGAACCTATGGCACAAGTGTTGCAGCAGGCACGTAGACCCCCTCTGTTGGCATGCAAGCCAAGTTGCCCCAGAAGCCAAGCTTCGGATAACAGTTGTTTTCTCTAAATTAAATCTCAGTATTCAGGTTTAATTGCAGTGTTGGCACTTTGTGATAGATAAGTGGTTTTGGGTTGCAGTTTGGGAACTCAGTCTCCAAAAGGTTCACCATCACTGCCCTATACTGTTTTTCTAATATAATGAGACATATGTACCTTATAATTATTTTGTGTCAAGGAGAATAATGACAAAGTCAGCAGGGATTTGTGCTCCCTAGGCCTTCCAGCAAGAAATTTCCCTGAATCACAATAAGATTGAGCAGATCATCGCACAGGGGGAGCAGCTGATAGAGAAGAGCGAGCCCCTGGATGCGGCCGTCATCGAGGAGGAGCTGGATGAACTCCGCCGCTATTGCCAGGAGGTCTTCGGGCGCGTGGAGAGATATCATAAGAAACTGATCCGCCTGCCTGTGTGTAATGTTAATACTTTTTGATATCATAAAATCCAGAGAGAAATAGTCATGTGGGCATAGATAGCATAGTAACGTGAGTAAGAGCCCAGACCGCAGAGCCAGACTCCTGAGTTCAACCCTGGCTTTGAAACAAGTTGGCTGCCTCACATTGGCCAAGTTCCTCACCTTTCTTGCTCAGAGTTCTCAACTGTGCAACAGCCTTACTCACAGTAGTAACTGCCTGATAGAAAGGATTGGGCTTTTTGCCTGTTTTGTCATATTAGTATATGTTTATGATACATGATAATTACATTCATCTTGGGGAATTGGTACACAGCCTATCTCAGTAATCCTTTTTACTTTCCCTTCTCCTATCTGCCTCCATCCCAAGATCCCCTCCCTTTCCATCTCCACAAAGCTTCCCTGCCTGTTTCCTATCAACTGTCCTTTATTTTACTCTATTTATATTGTGAGTTTCTCATATGAGAGAAACCATGAGACATTTAACCACAAGACCATAATACTAAGTGAAATAAACAGACACAGAAGGTTAAATATCAGAAAGATTGTTTTGATTATTAGATGAGTTAGTATACATAAAGACTTGAGAAGAGTATTTACCATCTATCTGCTGTGGCACATAGAGAAGCTTCTAGAAGAAATAGGGAGATGGTGTGAGCAATATAAGCAGTTACTCACCTGATGAGGTTATGTTAGGCTCATTTTTCTTCCATTTTGCCACCATAATCACATCTCATTTGTATATATGTTATTAGGATATTTGGAATCTTCTATGATTAAATATATTTTACATCTGGGATTAAAGGGGGCAGGCAAAAGTTTTGCCAGTAATTTTTGTTCCTGATATGTGTCCTTGTATGCCTGTTGTGTTGAATACATGATACTAGGTTCCCTTTATTTATACTCTTATTTAATCATCTGTCAATTCTTTAAAATAGGTCTTAATAGTATTCCCATTTTACTAGTGATAAAACTGAGACTTATAGATGAATGTATAAGACATTTCTAAAGTGATCAGAGATTCTGATGTATTTGTTGGTTGGAAGTTTAAAGTTACTGCGTGTTGTAGACAAGTGGTAGATCACCTGACTGATGGTAGCTCAGCTCAAGTGATCTGCTGAGGTAGCACCTGTCAGGGTGAGGGCCTGTGCCCTGCAGTAATGGAGTTGGCCTGACTTCCCTTCTAGCTACCGGATGATGAGCACGACCTTTCTGACCGGGAGCTGGAGCTCGATGACTCTGCAGCCCTCTCAGACCTGCACTGGCAGGACCCGTCTGTGGACGGTGTGCTCTCCCCGCAGCCTTCCTCCAACCCCTCCCTCTCACTCCCCCAGCCCCTGCGCAGTGAGCGGTCGGGAAGGGACACCCCGGCCAGTGTGGACTCCATCCCCCTGGAGTGGGATCATGACTATGACCTCAGTCGTGACCTGGAGTCCGCAGTGTCTAGGACTTTGCCATCCGAAGATGAAGAGGGCCGGGAAGAGAAGGATTTCTACCTCAGGGGAGCCATGGGTTTATCAGGTAGGGAAGAGCCTTTCCTCTATGCCAGCTTGGAGGAAAACAATCAGGAGTTACTGCTGTGCTGGAAACATATTGGCTAAGCAGATTCACCTTCTGTGAAACACTTGATACTGTGACAATGCTGAACATGTGACATGGAAACGTAACCATGGGGCAGCTCACCAGGACTGGGAGGAGGCTCCAGGGGAGATCTGAGAACAGAAGCACAAGTGGCAGTTGCTAGGTGGATGAGGCAATGTTCAGGAGAAGAGAGGGGAGTACCATCCATTTCTGTGCTTATTAGCCTTAGTGCTTTTGATGAGCTGAAGTTTGGCCAGAATGACAAGATCATAGGTTGAGTGGCATGAAGTAGACAAAGAGAAGACTGGAAGGGCAAGGAAGGATGGTCACAAAATGACCCATTCACCACAATAAGGAGTTTGGCTCTCATTCTGAAGGTAATAGGAGCCACAGTATGATCTAAGGTGGGAGGTGATGTGATCAAGTGCACATTTTTATACTGTTGCAGTCTAGACACTGCAAGAGAAGAGTATATAGGGCAGAAGGGAATGGAAATGGAAACGTTTCATAATCCAGGGTAGAGAGAGGATGGTGGCCTGAAGTAAAGAACCAGCACTGGGCTGAGAGAATATGGAAGTGGTGAGGAATCATGAGAAGAAGACTCTTCCATAATAAATGATTGAATTGAGATAGAGACACCTCTTGGTGGCAGATACGTGTGTTTCTAGGTCCTGATGACCACAAGAGGGGGGCAAGGCAGTAAGACACAGGCAATGCTGAGTACAGGTAGGCTGAGCGTGATTTTGAGATACTTGTAGAATTTCCAAATGCAAAAGTCCAGGAGTAGATATGTGAGTCTGTAGTCAGGACCTAGAACTAGATTAGGTAGTTATCCATGTATAAATGACAATTGTCCCTCAGTGAAAGGAGGGAAGCATACAGGAAAGGTGTATAAGGGAAACAAGGACAAAATTTCAAGCAACAAGTATTCTAAAGGGATGGACGAGGAAGAAGATCACTGAATGGAAGGTGAGCAAACGTGGAATAAATGATTGGAGGCTGATGTTTGGCACTTATAAATGTATCTCATATTTTCCCTAAAACATCAGCTATGGCTAGTTCTGTTTTTTTCTGATAATACCAATCTGGATTTCCAAGCTTATGACATTATTCCAAAACTAAAATGATTTCTTGCATTTCTATTTCATTGACACCAAAGAGTTAGTTAGGAATATGGCATCATAACAATTGCTTTCCAGTATGCAACCATCATCCACATGGCCAGTTAAGCACTAAATATGACTACAAATTGTGATGGGCCGAAAGAAGAAAAGGATAACACATATCCACTGATTTGAAAGACTTGGTACAAAGAAAGAATGTGAAATATTAATATTTATGTTGATAACATTATAATTTGGATATATTGGTTTAGTAAAATTCAGCATTAAAATTAATTTCATCTTATCACTCTTCTAATATGGCTATTAAATATTTAAAATTACATATGTTATTCATAGAAATACATAGGGCAATGCTACCCTAGAATCTAGGTTGAAGTCCCTTTTCTGTGACTTCCTAGCTTTTTAAATTTGAATAAATAACTTCATTTCCCTGGGTGTCAGTTTTCTTCTCTATAAAATGTGAATAATACTGCCAGGGACCTGTTGAGTTTCTGTGAGGTTGATGAGTACTCAAAACACTTTCGGTGAATGTGAATTCCTAGTAGGATGCATTTCCAGAAGCCTTTGGTAAGCATGCGCACACTCTCCTGTGTGCCCCGGAGCCATCTGTCTAAAATGACTAATTTCCTTTTATTCCCTAGGAAAGTTATTTTCCTGCCACAAGAGAATTAAGGTTTCCAGCATTTAGTTGTCAACTTAGACTGTGCTCTTTTTGCAGATGTAGTGATCCCTGAAAGCCTTGAGGCCTATGTAAAACTCACAGAAAATGCCATCAGAAATACCTCTGGTAGGCATGGAAAGCCGGCAAGCCCATCCCCAGCCTGTAGCAACCCCCCTCTCTCAGCACAACCGCTGTATCGCTCATGGCTTTGGGGCTCATGCATGCTAAGGCATAAACCTTCCTCTCTTCCTGCTGTACTATATGAAAGCAGCTGGTTGGTCCACATGCAAATTAAGATTTAAATAATCAAACAAAATGAAGTAACTTCTCCACCTGTCAAGTGGTAATCAGTCTCCTTAAGTATAGACCTCTGGCACCCATTAACAGCAGACAGGGAAAAGCCAGTGCCCGGCAGGTATGTTCTTGTTGGTGAGTGGGCCAGTTCTGGGGGTTTACCACCTGCCTCTGGATGGATGAGTGACCTGGGGATGCTCTACGATGCATCCACCTCATCTCAGAGGTCATATGTAAGACAGAGTGCAAGACAAGATCCAAAAATACCATGTATAGTTTTTGTTGAAGAACTGAGAATTGAACACAGGGCCTTCACGCCAAACTACACCCTGAGCCCTGTTTATTTCCTTTGCTTTGAGACAGGATCTCACTAAGTTGCACAAGTGAGACTTAAACTTAAGATTCTCCCGCCCCACTCTCCCAAAGTTCTGGGATTACAGGTGTGTGCCACCATGCTCACCTAAAAGATATCATTTTAGTTTAAGAAGTCTTATCTCAGAAAATAATTGGAAATGAAAAATGCGTTCTACTCTATTTTGATCTTAGATTTCCCTTTAAGGACAGAACTATTCCTGAAACAAGAAGAATTAAAGAAAAATGGAAAGCAGTTTTGCTTAGTGTTGCATGAAACAAACTGTAGTTTAGGATCAGTGGGTTGGGGAAGGGTGAGGAGCACAGCAATATGACACTGACTTGTGGGCTAGTGTACACGCCTGTTTCTGAAGATAAGCCAAGGACCCAAAATGAGGGAGCATCACCGACAGGTGATTTTCCAAGCAAGACCTAGTAAGAGAGCCCTTATGTGTATACACAGAAGGCCTTTCTTCAGAAGTAAATAAATGAATTCAATAAAGCTTACTTACTAATATTTGTCCTGCCTTCACCCTGGGCTAACTCCATTTTGACACACACACACATACACACACACAGCCTGTAATTTTGCCACTCAAAAAGCAGAATGAGCCAGAATGTAGGCCAAGAGGAAGTGCCTACCTGGATGGAAGTATTGATATCTTAGCTTTCTTGTGTATTTTTTCGGACTAGATAAAAGCAAGTCTCTGCTAGTTTGATCTCTCCAGGTGCGTCTATTCTGAGCTAGTCTTTTGTTGGTTAACTTGAATTCATGCCCTAAGTGAATGACACAGTAATCAGATCTTCAACTCCCAAGGTGCACAAAGACAAATTAGAGTTGTCTCTTCCTCTGCTTGTTATATAACTGCAGAAGGAGCCTGAGAAGCCACTACCTCCTAGTTCCTGAGGAGCAGCAGATATCATTTCAGATTTTTTTAAATGCCTGCCATTATTTACAACATTCAGATGACCAGTGTAGGGCTGGAGGAGGGAGGGGGACTCCAGGCTGCTCGGAACCAACTTCAGAGCCCTTTGCACTACCCACTCTGCAGGGACTCTTAGGAAGCTTGCTCACTGGTATAACCTCCTACAAGTCTAACCCTCTAGCACATAGTACTAAATTTGCTTTTTTATTACCCACACACTTGCCCTTTCCATGATGCCACAACTGAAAATTTCTGAAATTCTTGAATGTCAATCTTGAAATAACAGTATGAACAGTATGGGCAGTAAAGATTCTTATGGTTGGCACTGCAGGACATCACAGCACCTTGGAGTCACAGATCCAACAACTGGACAAAGCCCTGGATGACAGCCGCTTCCATATGCAGCAAACTGAAAATGTCCTGCGCAGTAAAACTCCCACGGGGCCAGAGCTGGACTCCAGCTACAAAGGCTATGTGAGTCTCCTGAGCAGCCCACACCCAACCTATACCTGGATCACAATTTTGTGATGAAGAACAGTCCATCTGCAGCATGAAGGATTTATGACGTCCCCAAACAGAGCGGTGCCCTTGAACTCAGGGACATGGATGTGCAAAACAAAGCCCTGTTGTTTAAAGTTACCATTTGAGTACAACTGCTCTGTTTCCAGGCCCTGGAGCCCATTGTAATGACCAGTGTGTTCCTTTATTCTAAGCACTTACTGAGATCCATTTATTTGAGTGCAACAAAATGCTTTGGCTTCCAAAAGGTCATTAGGCATTTTTCCAAATTCAACTAATAATTTTTGGCCAAAGCTATCCTTGAAGCGGCAGACTTTGGCTAATAGATTACTAAACATGGACTTTTTTTTAGCTCCCTTCCTAGGTTTTCAATTCACTTATTGACCTTGGAAATATTTTAGAATCCTCTGGGGTTTTGTTTTGCTTTGGTTTAGGTTTTTTGTTTGTTTTGTTTTACTTTGTTTTATTTTGTTTGTTTTGGTTTGGTTTGGTTTTTTGGTTTACGGTGCTGAGGATGGAACCAGAGCCTTGCTCTCTAGGCAAGTACTCTCCCGCTGAGCACTGCCCTGTCCTGTGTTCCTCATTCCAAAGTAAACAAATCTGATGAGAGGGACTGGGGGTAAGACAGCAAAGAGTTATGTATATTACCAATTCTGTTTGAGGAGCTATTAGCTATGTGTGATAGTCTATCAGAACTTTATTCATCCTATTCTAGTCACTGACCCTGGTAAGTTGTCTTCAGAGAAGTTCCTGTATCTGTTTCCTACACATATTTAAGCAAGAGAATTTTAAAGTAAATCTCTTCCCTGTCCAATGTCTTCTTTCACATCCAAATGGATTCTTAGTAAAAGGAAAGAAAAGTTGATCTCCCATGGTCTAATCATAATTTATAGGTACTTTTTTTTTGAAGTCAGGGAAAAGAGCTATTCTAGCTATATATGTTGACATTAATATTTTCATGATTACTTCTAGAGGTTATTGTAAAGCCTCTTTTTAAAATTTTAGTATAATTTTAATATAATTTAATGATGACCATGCTTACAGCATTGAGATTATACTAAACCTTCATCAAAAGTCATCAAAGTAACTCAGTAACATTGTGATCTATTGAAGGGTTTGAGAGATAATACAATGCATGGTCCACATGCAGAAATGCCTTAAAATGATTTATTCTTTTATCTTGGAATTCTGCAGAAGATATTAGAAATGGATTTGTAAGTTTTTTTCCCTTGATACCTAGTATACCTTGTTTAAATTTCCTCCTAAAACAGCTGGCATTAGTATTGCTTTATGCTTTTAAGTAGTTCAATGCAGAAATGTTCCCGTGAGATCTGTGGTAATAGTAATGTTTCCACATTTCAATTTAAGAAAGAGGAAGAGGGAGCAACTTGCCAAAAATTAAATATTGCCTTACCGGCTGAAGGCTCTGAGATTTCCATCCTAGACTGGTTTAATCTGTTTTGATTTGTGAATTTAAAGGAAGTTTTGAGGGCTTCCCATGCCAGCCCTGTATGCAAAGTATAACTTCAAGGCTTTGCTCTTTGTGTTTGTGAATGCACATCACCTGTTGAGAGAGCAGAGCTTATTTTTGGTAGAGTGGCACAGATGGGTACAACACAGCCACCAGTCTGCCAAGCAGCTGCAGAAATGTCCTCCTGGAGGCTCTTGCCCTGTGGGAATTTTGGTGATGGGGGCTGTTTCTCATGTCTAACAGATGAAACTGCTGGCTGAGTGCAGCGGCAGTATAGATTCAGTGAGGAAACTGGAGCACAAGCTGAAGGAGGAAGAGGAGAACTTTCCTGGCTTTGTTAACTTGAACAGTACTGAGACCCAGACCGCTGGTGAGTGCATCATTTGCAGTTGAAGAAAGTAAACTGTAAGATCCTGAAGCACTTTGTCCCACCCAGCTCCCACTGTGCTGCTTCATCTCCTTCTAGGGGGTTCGATCCTGGGACCCTCTTGCCACCATCAAAGAATCTCCCATGACAGAGGAGGGAGGAGGAGCGCATCACAGTGGTCTTTCTTATGTTCCATTTATTTTAATGCACTGTCTCTAGTGAATGGAGTCAGCTTTTTATATGTGTCCATTCAGCATCCTATTGTAGAAAAGAACCAAGAATGGAATAATATCTTCAGCCACATGGCTGCTTATTACTTCATAAAGTTCCTCACAGCTATTTTTAAACTCCATTCTCATTAGAAAAGTGAGTAGGAAAACAAAGCCTCTGTACTCATTTGGCTGTTATTTACACATGACAGCAATAATATCCGGTGGGTTACTGTTCATTCTGTTGTTTTTTTCCCCCATTACTGGGGACTGAACCCAAGGCCTTTACACTAAGCTACATCCCTAACCTCTTTTTGTTTTTGTTTTTGTGTTTAAACATTTTTATTTTGAAGCGGGGTTTTGCTAAGTTTCCCAGGTAAGACTCAAACTTGCTGTCCTCCTGCCTCAGCTTCCCTCTGTGCTGGGATTATAGGTGTTCACCCCTGCACCAAATTCTGTTGCTCTTTAAAGTTAGCCACCAGTGTGTTTTTAAAGCATTTCCCAGCTGGAGAAAACTCTTCACTCTTCTGTGCCTGTCCCTCCAGGTGTGATTGACCGATGGGAGCTCCTCCAGGCCCAGGCCCTGAGCAAGGAGTTGAGGATGAAACAGAACCTGCAGAAATGGCAACAGTTCAACTCAGACTTGAATAACATCTGGGCCTGGCTCGGGGAGACAGAGGAGGAACTGGAACAACTCCAGTGCCTGGAGCTCAGCACAGACATCCAGACGATCGAGCTTCAGATCAAAAAGCTCAAGGTGGCTGACCTTTGCCTGTCCCATAGAGGCCAAAGAGAAAGCTGCCCCGTGTAGCACTTGTTCAGAAACTTCTTGCTTGAAAGGATTTACCTCACAGAGCAGCAGGGAAGGTGTCCAATAAAACAACAAGAATGCGCCTCTCCCACAGCCATCCAAAGTCCAAGTGTGTTCTAAGATGGTTTAGAAGGGCAGGGAGGTAGACCACATTGTAGGGCTCCTTGCCATGTAAATAATCACATGTAATTTAGCAAATTTGCATTTTGTGAAATGATCAGTTAGTTTCATGAAAAGTCCAGGCACCTTGGTGACCTAGCTAATCTCTTTGTAAGATAAATACAAGGATGAGCAGAGTATTGCACATCTCTATTAAAACTGGAAAGAAATCCTTTCAAAGACCATGTCTGTGTGAATTTGTGGGAAACTTGGTCATATCATTTGATCTTCTCATATTAGAAAAACTTCCAAAATATACCTGCCATTTGCCTTTGATTTTGGCCTGTGTGTAGTGTAACACCCCTTCACTCCAGCCCTGGATCTTAACAATCCTTCTTAGCCCAGCTATTGAATTGCACTCATGTGTGGAAACTGGTGAGAACCCATGGACTGAGAGCTGTTTCTGCAAGATGTGCTTAGTATGCTCCTCCTCAGAGTGTAGCTACCCTGGACCTCTGGACTCAGAACTACATGTGCTGCTCCTGTGTTTCTGTGACTTTAGTACATGCTATTTATTTTGCGATGATGTTTTTGTGGCTTGCTTTTGGGGAGTTATTTTGTTTTATTTTAAATTTTCAGAGACAGAAATCAGTCTTTCCCACAGGTATTTCCACAGTTGTATCTTTTAGAAAAGTCTCTGCACCAGCCCCATGAATTTCTGGACAAAGCACTGGGAGGGAGCTACAATTTATAGAATTTGCATAATGCAATGCATTTTTCTGTAGTCTCTCTAAATTAGTTGGGCAGCCTTGCTTTATAACCAAATTCCTTAAAAGTTGCTAACACAAGTGCAGGGCAGAATCTGAGAGCTCAGCAGGATGAGAGCAAGGAAGTAAGACCTTGGAAGTCAGCCCTCACAGTAAGGAAAAGCGGCCCTCCTCTTCTCTGTTCCTGGTCCTTCCTGTCTATGTTCTCTGTGAATGAGTCTGTGGAAGAACCAAGTACTTTCTATAATATCTCTTGATTTGCTGCCTTCATGGTTGAATCTATAGTACAGCATGTTAAGAACCCATTGAAAAGTGAAAATTTAATTCAAGTTGGGAGTGTAACAGAACTAGTGAGAAATTACAAGAAAATGCAGCCTGGGTAAATGTGATTTCCAGGATTTCTTGCCCTATCTGCGGATATTTAAATATTAAAAAATACTCAAAAATGAATACACAGTTATGTGGACACATTCTTGGAATCGAGTTATGGACATTTTGGAAATGCACAAAACGAAAAATCTGTCAATAATTTTGTGAAATCAAACTAAACTGATTAGCTCATGAGATGCCCAACTCATTCTCTTCCCCACACAAGAATGTGGCCTGTGATTAGGCAGTGTCCTTGGCCTGGGGGCCACTGTGCCCACAGATTAAGAACACTGGAGCCCCAGGGCCTGGAATCTGCCTTCTTAAATTCACCACTTCTTACTTATGCACACAAGTTGGCATACCGTTGGTCTGATGAATTAGGATTATTCCATGAGAAAATAAAAGCAGATATTCTGGTGCTTAAAACTATTGGAACCGGGTTTGTGTTGTGCTGTGACTGCTATGTTGGGTTCCACATACCATTCTGTTTGGACTTTTTTATTCTACACCATATTTTTCTTGATCCTTCCCTGTTGTCAAATGTCACCCAGCTGATTTCTTCTCATCACAGCATCACCGCCAGTGATGTGCACCCGCCGTCTCTTACAGAGCCTTCCTCTTAAGGGCAATTTCAATTAATGGACCTTTTCATTTGAGTGGAACACTTTCAAGGGTCTTCAACTACTTTTGAAACAAATGTTTTATCATTATGGCCTTTAATTGTTTCTTTCTCTTTTAGGAGCTCCAGAAAGCTGTGGACCACCGCAAAGCGATCATCCTCTCCATCAACCTCTGCAGCTCTGAGTTCACTCAGGCTGACAGTAAGGAGAGCCGGGACCTACAGGACCGCTTGTCCCAGATGAATGGGCGCTGGGACCGGGTGTGCTCTTTGCTGGAGGACTGGCGGGGTCTGCTCCAGGACGCACTGATGCAATGCCAGGTCAGTGGGGCTTTGGGCAGGTGAAGACTTGGAGCCAAACACTATCGCTGTTATTTGAGGGATACAATTGCTCCCCCAAATGAATATTTGAGTGAGATTAACTATGTTCCTGAGCTTTTCGTTTTACTGGAGAATCTGTACATCTAACCAGAATTCAAAGATTCTATATCTCATCATCTGTCCAGTTTAAAAAAAATACTACTCCCCTCATCTGTCTCAGATACACAGAGCATTTAGGTCCTGGCGAAGAGTTTGGGTCATATTCTAAGCACAATGTGACAATGAGGATTTGAAAGCAGGTACCTAGGCTGTTGTTTCCCCATTACATCCACTCTTACCACAGCACCTTGCCCACAGGGGATCTTCAGTAACTACAAGTTGTGATAAAAATATGCTGTATGTTTAATATTTTAAATTATTGCAGTAAAAGACATATTGCCACTAATCCCCCTAACCCCCATACTTCTCCTTACCTCGAACACACTTATCCCATCACTCTTGACACTTTCTGATACAGTTCTGGAAGTCTTAATTTGTGAGTGTGTGTAGTTGTGCTGTCATGACTACCTTGATGTCCTGAACTGATTAAAAACATTTACAGTGATTTCTGTCAAATAAAAGCATTACAGTGTGACCTTACCCACCTTATTTACTGGATCTGGTACTGTGAGTGAGACTTCTAGATTTTCCCTAAAGTCAAAATGATCATGAAAGGTAAATGTTTGGAATTGATCCGGATATCAGGGCAGTCAGGGCAGCACAGCTAAGGACACTCACAAAAGAGGACTTCTAGAACTGCATCAAAAGGTGGCAAAAACAATGGGATAAGTGTGCTTGAAGTAATAGGAAGTATTCTGGGGCAGATTAGTGACAGTATATCTTTTACTGTAATAATTTTTTAAAATTTCAGTATTCACCACGTTTGATCACACCTCATCAGTGTTGAATAAATGAACAAGTGCAAGAGTGAAGGGGACGTAAGATTGGGCCCAGGGCTTAGAAGATGAGGAAATTTGAATACACAGAGAAAAGACAAGAGGAGGCTCCATTCCTTCCAAACTATCAGCACTACCCTTCTTTTTGAAAATTAAGTATTTTGATACCAACTTCATGTCTAACCACCCCCCCCAAGTAATAAATGAGATGCTTTTAGTAAGAAGATCAACTTGGTCAGATACCTACTACAGCACGAGGGTCTTCTAAGAAAGGAGGCATGTTGTTGGCCACATGTGTTTCCCAATGGTAGCAATTGAAGAATGCAAATGTATTCTGGAAAATTTTATTACCCATGGTTATTTTATGCTTCATCTCTTTTTTGTAGGATTTCCATGAAATGAGCCATGGTTTACTTCTTATGCTGGAGAATATTGACAGGAGGAAAAATGAAATTGTCCCTGTCGATTCTCACCTCGATGCTGAGATCCTCCAGGATCATCACAAGCAGCTGATGGTAAGAATATGGACAGTCTCTAGCTACTTTCAGAGTGGTGCGTAATTTTATACTCTAACCTAAGTCTCTAAGTTAACTCTCATGGTGTTTAGTCATTGTGAAACAAGAGGCAAACAGCCATTGCTTAGTTATATTACTGTAAAGAAGTCCTTATTCTCAATTAGCTTGTGTTTGGTAAGGCAGCTTTTTGGTAAATTGGGCTTATTTTTCACTTAAACTTTATATATTATATCCATGTGCCTAAAGGATATTTGGTAGCTATTAAAGTGGGGACAGTTAAGTCTTTATTAGAGGAATTAAATATACCATCTGAAACATGAAACTTTGCACCAAATTTTCTGAAAGAAAAGCAAAAGGGAAACACAATAAGTTGGCCTATCATCATCACCTGACAACAACAGTGCATACCAGTTCCCAAGAAGCAAGAAACTGCCAAGTGTGGTTGCAGATCTGTAATCCCAGCACACTGGGAGACTAAGGCAGAAGGATCACAAGTTTGACCCCAACCTGAGGAACTTAGTGACTTAGTGAGTCCCTGTTTTAAAATTCAAAAGAAATTATAAAGAGCCAGGTACCCCAGTCCAAAAAAACAAAAGCATGAAACTGTTTCTAGGACTATATTGAAATCAAAATTTACTGCATAGGTTTTTATACAAGGATCTTGGACAATATAAAGTTTGATGGATTTAAGTGATTTTTTTATAGATGATAAGGAAACATATTTGAGTTCCATTAGGGAGAAAATGCTTTGTATTTTGTAGCTTTCTATATTTTTAAAATGTTATGTCTTAACATTTAAGAGTCACTAACCTAAATTATAGAATTGGCTGCTTTTAATTCAGTACCATAAGTGTCTTAGAAGCCAAGAGGAAATAACTATGCAACTGTATTTTTACTCAACTTTGACTTCTGGCATTAAGCTATGAATGATGACTCACGCTACATCTTTTTTTAAAATTCCAACTAGGTATCAGAGCACACTTCGACATACTTGAGTTTTGCTGTATTTGGATGTTAATGTTTTATTTTTCTACTCAACAGATGATCTTATATCTCATTTGCACAGTACTTCACATTTTAAATACACCTTCACATACACTGTCCACAATAGACCTGATGATACTGTGAAACAGGCATCAAATGAGAAAACTGAGATCAGAAAAGTTCAGAGGTCCTTCAGAGTTTTTTTGCATTTGTGTTTATTTTTGTTTTCTGACCGAGATAGGATGAGAACACAGCCCCCAGTTCCCATAACCAGGCTGCAGCACCATTCTGAGTACACACCGCATTCTGGTGCTCAGGTATAATTCTCTACTTTGAGAATATTGTCCATCAGAGATTCTTAGAAAAAAAAATTTCCTCTTCTATACATAGCAAATAAGGCGTGAGCTGTTGGAGTCCCAACTCAAAGTGGCCTCACTGCAAGACATGTCTTGCCAACTCCTGGTCAATGCTGAAGGCACTGACTGTTTAGAAGCCAAAGAAAAAGTTCATGTCATTGGAAACCGGCTCAAACTTCTCCTGAAGGAGGTCAGTCGTCACATCAAAGATCTGGAGAAGTTATTGGACATGTCAAGCAGTCAGCAGGTAAGTCCTCACCAGGCATCACAGTGTCACATTTCTCACAAGAGTGGGAAGCACTGCTTCACCAAAGCCTTCTAATGCAGCACTTTCAGATTGAGTGTCCACTCTTCATCACTGCTCCTCTATCCTCTCTCAAAATAAAAACAGCAGACTTGTAAACCTCTACAACAAGACACTGCTTTTGATTCTATTAAATTCAAAAGATCTCTTGTAATTGTTGCTGCCAGCTCTACTGATATCACTGCTGTGGCATTTTATTTCACCCTGTTTATTTAAGGGCTCACACATTTTCAGTTACACAGCCACATCAGCACAAACCAAACATTGCGGATGAGCTTTGTATTCAAAGCACACAAGGCATGCATTCTCCTTATGTGTACTGTAATTAGTCCATAGACAATAATCCACTGTTCATTTCTTTTTTATATTTTTTTCTTAAGTATACTATATTATGGTAGTATTGTTGATTTTCCATACCCAGCAATGCTCACTAAGATCTCAGACATTCCACTGTGAAATCCTGTCAGGAACACACAGTGCTGTGTCCTCTTATAAGCATATAATGGAGGCATCGACACTGAACAGCAGCACTACCCAAAATAGCACAGTTTCTCCAATTCTGCAAGAGAGTCTGCTGAATGGCTATCATTTGTTCTAACTTAGACAAATTGGTTTATTGCTTGCCTTGGGACCTAAGGCATCAGACAGCTCTCGTTACCTCCTGAGCCTATATCATTCACATCCATGTCACCCAAAAAGAATAAAAGTGCAATAAAAAAACCTATAGCTATATCTTCCAGAAGGGGCAAACTTACAGCCAGGAAATCCCAACACACTAGAAGAATTTCCTTTTGTCCTTACAGCTGTCTGATTCCATTCTTCCCAGGGATCTAATTTGCCTGGTGAGAATGTACAGATGAATGGGAAATACACTGTGCATGTAGACTTCCCATGGCTCTGGGTCACGGAGTTGTCAGAAGAATTTTTTTCCTCCATAGGATTTGTCTTCCTGGTCTTCTGCTGATGAACTGGACACCTCAGGATCCGTGAGTCCTACATCAGGAAGAAGCACCCCCAACAAACAGAAACCGGTAACTTTGCACTGGTCATTATCAGGTAGCCCATGGGCGCAAACACCAAGAAGTGACCGTATTTTTGCCTTCTGATGGGATCCACTGGTTCAGAACAGGAGTCCCCAGGCAGGAGAGGGCTGTCACTAGTGTAGAGCTGTTCCCTCAGCCCCTAAACCATGTGCCCTTCCAGCATGTGCTCAGGAATGGACAAGAGCAATTCTGTTCTTTAAAAGAATCAGGGCTCAACATGTGGCTGGTATGTGGGAAGAAAAATTACTTTTCTTGCTGACATGGCCATTTCAAGAATGCTGCTCATGTGTCCCTTTGGGGGTTCCTTCCTTCAAACCACCACCACCATGTCCACCTAACAAAGGCAGGCACCACATCCAGAAGTGCCTGGGCCACAGTGGGCGGACTGAATGTTCCATGAGCCCACTGAATTGATGAGACAAGTGGAGATTCTACTGACCTTCAACCAAAGAGGCTTGTGAGTAGTGGTCTTGAAGGTTTGGGGCCCTAACGTGGCACCAGCTCAAACCCACCCACCTAGGCCACGAGGCTGGTGACAGGCCTGCCTCACAGCCACACAGTGAGGATGGGAAGACAAATTTGGCCCTGCTACCCTCTATACCTTGATTTCTCTGTGTAATTAGAAGCTTGGTTTTTTTTTTGTTTTGTTTTGTTATTTTTTGGTCTGGCTTTATGATTTTATTCATTCTGTTTTTCTTTAGTTTTTATAAGTAATGGTTTCACATGCACATTTTTGTTATATACACTTATGTTCTATGCTGATAAATGTATTATGCTTTTTAGGATTGTTTTTTTACTACATTCACTAGTTTCCTATAGATCCTAGTTTAAGAATGTTAAGGAATACTGGCTTTTCTATTCAAATTTTAGACTTTATTTAACTAGAATGTGTAACTTCTTGTGCTTCTTCTTGCAAAATAATAACTTTATTACTACCAAAATATTTAATATTGCTTTAGTGTTCTAAAAAGTGAAAAACATGAATAAAGTTAATTTTATATTTATTACCAGGAAATACACTTAAGTAGCATAGAGTGAAAAATGGGGCAAACTGTGCCCACTGTTGTGTGAACTCCAGGAGCACAATTTATATTTATTTGTTATTAATAATGTAGATGTGAATTTATTTTACTTCTGTAGTAAAAGAAAAGCCAGTTTCCTTGATTCATGAATACTGATCATTTCATTTGATTTGTTTTTCCTTTGCTACACTTTTAGTTTAATTTTCATCAGTAGCTTGTCTTTATTTGCCTGGACTGAACATTCTTCTTTCTTTACCCCTGTTCATTGCAAACAGCCACGAGGCAAATGTAGTGTCTCACAGCCTGGACCCTCTGTCAGCAGTCCAAATAGCAGGTACCTTGTTCTCCTGGTTTCCACACTGTTCTAGAATCCCAAGAGGATGATGAAAATTGTCCATGATTTAGGGAGGCCTGCATCTGGTCTGCCTCAGGGTAATTGTGAAATTACTCATTACAACCCACACTCTTTCCTAGTCGATTGGAAAAGATGTTTCTAAATGGAAAGCACGAATAAAACTCAGAGCATAAAATATTTGGACCCCACCAAAATTTCGTTTAACTGCACATAGCTCATTCAGTCTTTTTCATCAAAGTTCACTCTGTGCGTTTGTATGGATTCAATCGAGCCAGCAGCACGACTGCCATTTGATTCATGGCAGACTTTTATCATCCTCTTTCTTTCTAGATTTTACAATGAGACAGGTAATCAAGCAATGAATTATTTTACCATTCACAGAACCCACAAATCTGCATAAAATATACTAACATCCCCAGCTTTTTATTTTATCTTTCTGTTTTATCCAGATTGTGGGTTTTGGATTCTCAAAACAGCAAGTCCTAATTGGTTGTTCTTCATTTAAAATTTATAAGCACCTTCTCTCTTCTGCTTGGCCTAAAATTCCTCTTCAGCCAGCACACTCAGTCACTCACCTTCCTCACACTAAGCAAGCTCTTTCACTCCGGACCCAAGAGCAGTCCATGCCCTGCCCAGTGACCTCCAGAGGGCCACCTCCCAGCTGCGCTCTGTGCTCCACACCTTGCCTCTGAGACCCTCATTTCTGCAGTTAGCAGTGCTTTGCCTTCTCTGTTGTTGATGTGGTGTCTGTGCTCCCTTGCCCTTCCACCAATCAGTTCATGTTTCCCCAGAAAAGTTTTACTTTAAAATGAAAAATGCTGCTCTCGAAGCTGGTTTTTCATTCCAATCCCAAGCAGTTCACTGTGAAAATATCTGACCCTCTGGAAACTTACCATTGCTGAGCAGGGCTCTAAATTCCTGGAAGGAGGGTGGGGATGAGGAAATGTAGAACTGTAAACAACCCTGAGTAATAGTTTTAGTTTTCCATCTGTGTGCTGAAAGGACTGACTATTCTATTGAGTAATTCCCATTCAGCTGAAGTAATGCAGAATGTATTTTGATATGCTTTCTGATTTTAAGCCTCCATTTACTATGGGGTTTTTTTCCTTTCCTTTTGGTTTGAGGACAATTTTGTAAGTTTTTATTTCTGTCCGTAACAAACTAGCAATAATGAAATATAGAGGGAAAACTTCCAGGGACTGTGGGAGATAATAATGGACATCTGTGGCTGCTCTGTAGTCTTCTTAACCCCTACAAGAAAAGACAACTGGTCACCACAGACAAGTCATTGGGCCATATAATCCCTCTTTTAACTTCCACATTGCTGGTGTGCCATGAGCAGAGATGAACAGTATCCCCATAGGATTCCTTTGAGGAAACCAGAGAACAAGTCTTCGGTTAATACAAATGCTGGTGATGAGAAGAGGAAAAGCTATTATGCTCTTGGGCAACACCAGTAGTAATCACCTCTCGGTTCCCAGAGATTCCATCTATTTGCTTCCCCAATTATCTAAGTCAGCCACACAGATCTTCTGAGAACGTTAAAGGCATCATTTCTTTGGGCAACAAGTGCTTCCACTTGCTTCCTAACAGAGCTCTGCAGCTGGGCCAGCCACATTCTCACTGTGACATCCCCAAGGTGCCTTTCAGCTCTGCTCTGTCCAGCACTGTTGATTAACATCTTCCTGAGTGTCCAGCACAATGCTCCCTTCTCTACTCAGGAGGGGATGGAATGTAAATAATCTTCATGTGAATGACAAACTTCATCAAACACCATGGCAGACAGGTTGTGGTTGAACATTTTTGGGCTTTGTAGCTCCTTAGCACCTTGGGTTGGGTGCACGCAACCCTGACAATAAAATGCCAAAGCTCCTGAGGGGAGAATGAATTTCAGTCACTATCCAAGCTGTCACCGTGTCCTTTTACGTTGTGACTTGAGACAGCTTGTGTTTGATCTTGCACTGGTCCAGCAAATCTGAAAGGTTACTGGAAAAACACAGGAGTTTAGAATGTTGCCTTCAGATATCTGTAATGAGAACATTTTAGACACAATTTTTTTTCTGCAAAGGGAAGAGGCTGAGTTGGAAAAGATAGTGTACCAGTTTGAAGGGAGCGCTTACAACACGTTTTCTGTTGTTTAAAGTCAGGCATTAGTAGTAAACTAGCCTATTACATACTTCAGTTTGATTTGATGCCAATTCTGTCTTTGTTTAGTTATACATTTACATATGGATTGAGGACAGAGGTCAGTGACCATTCACTATGCTTAGGCTGGAGCCCTACCGAATTAATATAATCTGCCTTCTTTCTTTTCTTTTTCTTTTTCTTTTTTTTTTTTTTTTTTGGTACCCGGGGTCAAACTCTGGTCCTTGCGCTTGCGCAGCAGGTAGTGAAACCACTGTGCTAAATCCCCAGCCCTAATCTGCCTTCTTTCATTGAAAGACTAGCAATGTATCAGAACCCAGAGACTCCTTAAGTCAATTACAAGGAGCTTCCCAGAACTTCTTGAAATTATAAGAAATTGAAAAGATCTGCACACATATTCATAATAATTTGTAATATTATTGTTTTACTTGTGAGGAGACCTATTTTAGAAGCATACTTTCAAAGCAATGCTTGTGGTTCTTTTTTTTTCTCCTACATTTGACTTAAAAGTTTCCAATCCTGCCATCAAAAACTCTTTTAAACTATGCTCTAGATGACTTGAAGTTGACAAATGAGAAGCTTCACTCCAATTTTCAACAAGACAGAGGAATAATTGCTCTGTAGTCTGTATTGAGTGAAGGATAGCTTCATTCTAAAGCAGGGAATTGTAAAATGCAGAATTGCCCTGGACACTGTTAGCCTTTGGCACCTCTGCACAGAGAACTAAGATGGAATGAAACATCTGGCTGAAACACTGAGAGGGAGGGAGCAAAGGCCTCATTTTAAAATCCATTTGAAGTAGTCAAATATATTTAAGCAAGCCAGCAGGCTTTTTGCATGTTTACTAAAGACTCCTGTAAATGCTATTCAGGGTCTTGTGTAATTTGTTTTCAGATCTTTTGTTTCAGGCTCTTCCTAGGGATCTATTTATTCCAGGCATTCAAAGGCCTGGGCACAGAGCAGTTTCCTCTGGAAGGCAAGCTGCCCACATACCCTGAGGGCAGCAGCAGGGTAAGGCTACAATAGGTCTCTTGCCTTTTCCAGGAAAGCCTTTCCAGTGTTCTTGGGGAATAAGTCAGGCAGTCTAGGAAATTTGCCACATCTTTGAAAACACTGTTAGGAAAACAGGAATACTTCCCTGGGAAAAGAGACTGAAGCCAGCCAACCCCTGGGAGCAGAAGTCAGCACACCCCTGTATAATTATACAGTTAATAATGACAAGTCGCTGACATTTATTTAGTGCTTAATGTGTTCCAAGCACCATGCAAAGCACTGCACGTATGTTACTTCATTTACCCACCTCCAAACTGGCTATATGCCCCAGTTTATAGAAGAAGACACCAGAGATTAAAGGCATGAAGATTTTGGGTGTGCTTTCCTTGTTAACTACTCTACTGAAGAGCCATACATGGGCAGGAGAGCTCAAACAACAGGACCGCAGGTTGCCCAAGGTAGTGTAGTGCCAGCCAGCATGTTTGATTTGGGATAGGAGAAGCCTCGAGTCCTAAACTGATTCTAGAAACTTTTCTTCTGAGCCACATGTCCAGGGAACAATGGCTCTCAAAGACTATGAGAGCAGGTGCAAGATCTAAGACAGCCTTGGGCCGGGGATTTAGCTCAGTGATTTCGCCACCTGCTGCGCAAGCGCAAGGACCAGAGTTTGATCCCTGGTACCAAAAAAAAAAAAAAAAGAAAAAGAAAAGAGAAAAAAAGAAAGAAAATTTGAGCCCAGCAACTTAGTGCCTTAGAGAGTCCCTGTAATAAAGAGATA